TTTCACCTGATAAACTAGGTCATATTTGACGTCAATTTGAAATTGAGGACAAGGCTTAATGTGAGGGTGAGGATCAGTATCAATGAAGCATGTAGCACAGAGATGGGTGATCATGTCCTTATACAGTCAATTTATAAATACTAGCCAATCAGGTACTAGGTTAGAGGGAGTTGATATACACTTTCCTGTCAATGGGATTGGATCAATGTATTTGTATGTATCAACCCACATGCCCGGGTCTCTTTATAAAGACATTTAGATGGACTTCCAAATTTTATACACAAACCAAATTCATCGAATAGGCAGGGGCTGGTGTGGCTGGAGGCGGCACAGTACCTCACTTCCGGTCCTGACTTGGTGATGCTGTACGATGAGTGTTAGGTTAAGGCATTATTAGGCATAGGAGCCGTCTTACAAAAACTAGACTTATACAGTTAATATATATAGGATAGACGGCCCCTTCTCCAAACTTTCCCCCTCCTCTACTCTTTTACTCCATACTTTATCCCTTCTACTCATTTTCCTTTCTGTTCTTCGTCTGCTGGATAACCGAAATACGCGGTAGTGAAGCGGACGTAAAAACCTATCAATCAATCAATCAATCAATGCCCGGCAGCGCTCAGTGAACCAAGTACTATTGAAGGAAAACAGAATCTTTATCCTGTGATAATGATTAGCAGGGTGGATAATTGTCAGCACGCTCAACTAGATAAAACTAATTGGCTTCCTGGGCTGCTGAAGTAGATTCATAAAAGCATTGAATGGGGAAAATTAATTTCCTGTTAAACATTGCTTGAGTAGAGGATTAACAGATAAAAATATGTGGCAATTGTCTGTTTAAAATATGCTTTTGTTAATAGTTAAGATTAAAAATTTATAAAAATTCATGTTTTTTTCAAATACAGTGGACATCATGCAGTACACAAGTCTTTATAATTTCCTTCACTTAAACCCCGAACTAACTGTATGAGCAAGAATGCTGTCAAACACAAAAATTGTCCCCAGATACTTTAAGGTGTATTCTTCTATAGTACAATTCTCACTGAATACATTCACTTTAGATGAATAAAAGATGATTGTCCAGTATATAACTAAAGGTGTGAAATTTCAGTTTTTACATGTATTTCAAAAATTCTTTAATAGAGTATTTCTAATTAGATACTACTAGACTTTAGATGAAGAACTGTTAGGTTAGGTATAATTGACAGTTATACAGTGAAAAGGTTTACAACAAACATGCTTCTCTTCTTAATTCCTACTTTTAACGGATTTCTAGATATACATACATATTTTTGCCCTCACAATTGTCCCCTGAACATCAAACCATCATGTGACAGAGATTCCCAGTAGCTAAAAACAACTAAAGAACAATACCAAAGCTTGAATAAAACTGTAATCCACACTCGAAATCAAAGCTTGAATAAAACTGTAATCCACACTCGAAATCAAAGCTTGAATAAAACTGTAATCCACACTCGAAATCAAAGCTTGAATAAAACTGTAATCCACACTCGAAATCAAAGCTTGAATAAAACTGTAATCCACACTCGAAATCAAAGCTTGAATAAAACTGTAATCCACACTCGAAATCAAAGCTTGAATAAAACTGTAATCCACACTCGAAATCAAAGCTTGAATAAAACTGTAATCCACACTCGAAATCAAAGCTTGAATAAAACTGTAATCCACACTCGAAATCAAAGCTTGAATAAAACTGTAATCCACACTCGAAATCAAAGCTTGAATAAAACTGTAATCCACACTCGAAATCAAAGCTTGAATAAAACTGTAATCCACACTCGAAATCAAAGCTTGAATAAAACTGTAATCCACACTCGAAATCAAAGCTTGAATAAAACTGTAATCCACACTCGAAATCAAAGCTTGAATAAAACTGTAATCCACACTCGAAATCAAAGCTTGAATAAAACTGTAATCCACACTCGAAATCAAAGCTTGAATAAAACTGTAATCCACACTCGAAATCAAAGCTACCAGGCAGAGTAGCTATTCACATGGAGACCACTAAAAATGTACAAGGAGACCAGACACTCCAGAAGGTTATCATCTAATTTCTTGGGTTTGTTATGATACCATGTGTTGGTGTAAGACATTTGAAGTGAGGTTTGTAAATAGTGGATAGATATCCAGAAGTAGGCCTGTGACCAGAATCTGACTAGTGTACAGGTGATGAGTAGGTATGGTATCCTCAGGCTACACAGCCAGCCAGCATGTTGTCATCCATTATTGATGATCAATTAATCCAATCTTATTGTCAATATTGACAGCAAGACCGGTAAAACAAGTGTCAACATTATTACTTGACAGACTTGTGGTACTCAAATTTTAAGGCTTCAGATCTATATCTACATTATATTATACCATAAGAAAGTAATGACAACATTGCAAACCGGGACATTAGAAATTGGTTACAATTAATTTACATGAACTACTTAATACGATTATTACACATTGATAGAGAAGGGTTGCTCTCTCTGAATCACTCTTTATCACTCCATTGCTATAACTGCGGACGGACAGTAGGACACTACATTAGCTTAATTCACTTAAACCGTAACTTTAGATGATATCGTCAGCTGGAACTGTTACAAGACCAGTCATCAAGACATAGTATAGTGTAATGTACTTTGGAGCGAACTTCCCCGTGTTATCATTTGACAATTGTGGCGTTTCTAAAGCGCTGGTTAGGTGATACATGTACAGTATTACTAAATCAGGATGGTTGCTTGGAGTAGTATGAACAGCTAAAGTTGTGTTCTCTCTAAATTCATTCATACTGATCAACTGTACAATGTCCTGACAGTCAAGAGGTGATGATCTTTCAGTCAGAAGTACCTGTGTATATAATATATCATTAGTGGCTTAGGGGTTCTGATCATTGGCCATGCTGCGATTCTTGCCCATCATGGATGCCTTGTCCGCCACATATTAAGTGTTTTAAGTGCACAATTTAAAGTGCATACCACTACATGTACTCTTGAAATTGCATCATTGTAAGATTGTTGTGACTCAGTACGACCACAAGAATATATCCAGTCTGTAATCTATTTTGCTTCTAGCTCAGGAAGCGGTCAAGTGTCATATTTTCTTTTGAGAATGACTAGATGAGAATGCTCCCATGTCATACAATTACAGCCTATTGTTATATCACTGTTACTATTGAGAGGCCATATATGACCCATCATTAAATGTATAAAGTCCAATCCTGGAGACAGATTGATGCACACACTCAATGACTCACTCTTCAGCCTTGTTTGTGCCTCTTAATTTCAGTATTTATTGTTTGTCTTATGGAATTAAATATTAGAATTTTAAATTTAATAAAATACAGTTTGATAAAAAGTTTACCATTATGTAGTGGTTAGTCCAGGTTGTAGTGACCATGGTTTAGCTGGTGAAGACCTGAGGTCCCTAGGAAAAGTATATCAGGGTGTGGTGTGGCCTGGGGCTGGCCATCCATAAAACTGTCATAGAGTCAGTAATGTTATGGAATAGGAAGTTATGGGCCATTAATGTACAATATCATTTGGGTCAGTTTTGGCAGAGAGTGCATGGGGACCTACTAGATCACTTCTGTTAATATCAGCAGTTTGAATTGATGTAGGGTCAGTTCAGAAAGTTTATAATTTTGTTTTTCTTTTGAAGAATAGAGCATTACGTGCAATTTCGGAATTATTGTGACTTCAGTAACGTGAAATATGAACAGGATATTTGTGTGAGTATAATGGTACAGTACCAGGTATTTTGGTTTTTGTGGTTGCTGTGGAAATTGTAATCTTGGAGCATGTCACCATAGACAAATGAGAATTTGTCCACAGAACGAGGCAGTAACTCAGGATGTGTATGTAGGTGAAAGGCAAATGGTCTTAAATCAGTTTCAAAGTAACATTGTGTAGACCACTTGTTAAAAGGTGAATGTCCTATGGACTCCAAATGAATTGGTCCTGAATGTTAAAAAACTCAGTTTGCAACACAATGATAAATGACAGAGCTAAATATAGTACATGTAATTATATCTGCTACAGATATCTAAGTGTGACCTGTCATAGGAGGTCATTGTCCACAGAAGTACAGCTGAAAGTCCGTTTCATAGATCCATATGATCTATGTTTCCTATCAAAGTCATTGAATCATACTGCTTTTAACTCTATTTCATCGGTTTAAACCATTAATTGTAAAACAGTTACTAAGTATTGTGTTAATGTAAAATAACCTGTATTTAATTAATGTAAATCTTTATCAATATTCCATTAATCTGTATTACCTTATATCATTAGGAACAATGTCTAGGTTTTTAATAGTCAGGATTTTGGATTACACTGGCTAATTAACGGGTCTAGATGAATTACTGTTTTGGTTTTTATGACTTACATAGTGTACATCAGGTGGTTTTTTTAGCTGATAGCTTGACAATGTTCATGTCCCTAAGGCAACTGCCTTTATTAGATTAATGTTAAATGTCCCTAAGGCACATGTACTATTAAATCAATTTCCAGTTTTTAAAAACTTTTATTTGGAGTTTTTATGCATTTTAACATTAATTAAATTAACATCATTGTATAATGTTCAAAAGGCCTCTGAAGCTGGGCTGTACGATATATATCTGTTTGTGACAGCCAGGCTGAGTGATATATATCTGTTTGTGACAGCCAGGCTGAGTGATATATATATGAGGGGTTGCCTATGTTGCCAACAAATACTGGGGTAACATTTAAGGAAGAAATATTAATTGAAAAGTTAGAAGACATTATATTGAATTGGCTCAACATAATAATGTTAGTGTTGACCAGTACAATGTATCTACAAGAAGGTTGTTATCTATTTAAAAAAATTATAACTTTCTTGCTTGGTAGGAGAGATTGTGGGAGAAATTTGTGTACATTTGTATTTTGTTGGTAAAGTTACATTTTGAAGTAAGCAGAACAAAATATGGGTTTTTAACTGTGCTAATGAGTTGGGGTTTTCTTTTGTTTTTCCAGACTCCACAAGAACGTGAAGGCTGCCAGTGAGGTTGAGTATCCAGCATACGGGGTAACTGGACCCTCTAAGGAGCGGATGGCCCCGCCACCCGGGGACCGCAAACTGGCACAGAGCGCACAGATGTACCACTACCAGCATCAGAAACAACAGATGATTGCAATGGAGAAGTATGTATACGAGTCTCAATTCAAGACCTTAACTTGCCTAGCAAGCCTTTGTTTAGTCAATAGGATGTCCATAGCAAGTCTTTCTTAAGTCAATAGATGTCCATAGCAAGTCTGTTAAGTCAATAGGATGTCCATAGCAAGCCTTTGTTAAGTAAATAGATGTCCATAGCAAGTCTGTTAAGTCAATAGATGGCCATAGCAAGTCTGTTAAGTCAATAGGATGCCAATAGAAAGTCTGTTAAGTCAATAGAATGTCCATAGTAAGCCTTTGTTAAGTCAAGAGATGTCCATAGCAAGCATTTGTAAGTCAATAGATGTCCATAGCAAGTCTGTTAAGTCAAAAGATGTCCATAGCAAATCTGTTAAGTCAATAGGATGTCCATAGCAAGTCTTTCTTAAGTCAATAGATGTCCATAGCAAGTCTGTTAAGTCAATAGGATATCCATAGTAAGCCTTTGTTAAGTCAATAGATGTACATAGCAAGTTTGTTAAGTCAATAGATGACCATAGCAAGTCTTTATTAAGTCCATAGATGTGCCTATAAAGTCTTTGTTAAGTCAATAGATGTCCATAGCAAGCCTTTGTTAGGTCAATAGATGTCCATAGCAAGTCTGTTAAGTCAATAGAAGTCCATAGCAAGTCTGTTAAGTCAATAGATGGCCATAGCAAGTCTGTTAAGTCAATAGGATGCCAATAGAAAGTCTGTTAAGTCAATAGAATGTCCATAGCAAGCCTTTGTTAAGTCAATAGGATGCCCATAGCAAGTCTGTTAAGTCAATAGGATATCCATAGCAAGCCTTTGTTAAGTCATAGATGTCCATAGCAAGCCTTTGTTAGGTCAATAGATGTCCATAGCAAGTCTGTTAAGTCAAAAGATGTCCATAGCAAATCTGTTAAGTCAATAGGATGTCCATAGCAAGCCTTTGTTAAGTGAATAGATGTACATAGCAAGTCTTTATTAAGTCCATAGATGTGCCTATAAAGTCTTTGTTAAGTCAATAGATGTCCATAGCAAGTCTGTTAAGTCAAAAGATGTCCATAGCAAATCTGTTAAGTCAATAGGATGTCCATAGCAAGTCTGTTAAGTCAATAGATGTTCATAGCATGTCTTTGTTAAGTCAATAGATGTCAATAGCAAGTTTGTTAAGTCAATAGATGTACATAGCAAGTTTGTTAAGTCAATAGATGTCAATAGCAAGTCTGTTAAGTCAATAGGATGTCCATAGCAAGCCTTTGTTAAGTCAATAGGATATCCATAGCAAGCCTTTGTTAAGTGAATAGATGTCCATAGCAAGTCTTTATTAAGTCCATAGATGTCCCTATAAAGTCTTTGTTAAGTCAATAGATGTCCATAGCAAGTCTGTTAAGTCAATAGGATGCCCATAGCAAGCCTTTGTTAAGTCAATAGATGTCCATAGCAAGCCTTTGTTAAGTCAATAGGATGCCCATAGCAAGTCTGTTAAGTCAATAGGATATCCATAGCAAGCCTTTGTTAAGTCAATAGATGTCCATAGCAAGCCTTTGTTAAGTCAATAGGATATCCATAGCAAGCCTTTGTTAAGTCATAGATGTCCATAGCAAGCCTTTGTTAGGTCAATAGATGTCCATAGCAAGTCTGTTAAGTCAATAGGATGTCCATAGCAAGCCTTTGTTAAGTCAATAGATGTCCATAGCAAGTCTGTTAAGTCAAAAGATGTCCATAGCAAATCTGTTAAGTCAATAGGATGTCCATAGCAAGCCTTTGTTAAGTCATAGATGTCCATAGCAAGCCTTTGTTAGGTCAATAGATGTCCATAGCAAGTCTATTAAGTCAATAGATGTTCATAGCATGTCTTTGTTAAGTCAATAGATGTCAATAGCAAGTCTTTGTTAAGTCAATAGATGTCCATAGCAAGCATTTGTAAGTCAATAGATGTCCATAGCAATTAAGTCTGTTAAGTCAATAGATGCTCATAGCATGTCTTTGTTAAGTCAATAGATGTCAATAGCAAGTCTTTGTTAAGTTAATAGATGTCCATAGCAAGTCTTTGTTAAGTCAATAGATGTCCATAGCAAGTCTGTTCAGTCTATATATGTCCATAGCAAGTCTGTTCAGTCAATATAAAGATGTCCATAGCAATTCCTTGTTAAGTCCATAACAACAAAGGTCAGTAGCAGGTCTGTTTAATGGTTCCATAACAAGTATGTGAATTCCATTGCAAGGGTTAGTAGGTATCCAGTTATGTTTGTAGTTTTCAGACATCATCAAGTCTGTATAAAGTCTAGAACAACTAGAGTTAAATCTAGGAAATGTGTTTATGTGAAGTTTATATCAAACCTTTGTAGGAGTTCATTGCAAGCCAAATATTGTGTGTATCATGTCTATAGCAAAGTGTGCATTCTAAGTTCATATCAAGCTCTAACCCAGAGGTTTGTAAAAAGAAGGACGGTTTTGCTTTAATGTGTTCAAAGTGGAAAATTGAGAAATAATTACATTTTCCTATCTAGATCATCCCTTGCAAGTTCTTATTATATAGCATGTTCTTTCAATAGATCCTTTCTTAAGAGCCCTTGATATGTTGCATCTTTTAATCAATTTCCTGCATTACTGTACATGTTCTTTACAATTGTGATAGCACGTAGGTGAATTATAAGGACATGGTTTATAGAGAAATTTCATGGAAAAAACAGCAGAAGCTAATAAATGTGAAAATTTACAGTATAAGACATTGAAAGGGTATATTAAATACCTGTAAACCACGCCTTACACAATAGCGTTATTTTATATATAGCCCCACACAGCATCAACAGAGGTAGGGTTTTGTCCTCACTCAGATACCTTTGTTGAGTACATTGACTCTCAGATCAACTATGAAAACCATTGATTTTCTGTGTAGGCCTCCTAAGTCTTGGTGGAATAAAAAACTGTGAAATGGTTTACAATAGTAGTTATATGACTTAAAAAGGAGGGTAAAGAAATTGTATGATATGTATGGTGTAGATTAAGAAATTTAAGGGAAGGATGTGAACAGAAAATAAGATGAAATTAAATAATAAGGACTACCCGGTAAATATTGTGTGAAGTACGGACTAAAAATGGTGGTGGACAGACGTTGACTGTGGACGGGAGATCTGCCTGTGGGTCGCTTGTATTAATGCTAACAGGGTCTAAGGCTGTCCTAGTGTCATCCGAGAGCAATGGAGATTTAATTACACGTTCATCCTGCTCTGATAGATTGTCTGAAAGGTTGCAAAATCAAGTTACAATACTGGTAGGCAATTATGCTTACTGAGCAGAAATGCACAGGCAGGATCAATGATAGGCATCAGGCTGCACCTGCATATTGTTTAATGCATGTGGGTATGGGGATACTCCATGTACCTCCTGACCTAAAAGGAAATATAACAGTTCTTGATATCTGGTTTCTGGCTGTCTAGAACAAAGTAATCTAATTAGGCATCAGAAATACAACTGAATCTGAGATCTGGTAACCATTCTACTTTTATGTCTTGGAGTGAAGGGAGACATATTGAATTAGTTCTGGTTCGTCATATTACATCTTGTCAGGGCCCTGATATTTGAAACTGATGAAGATTTTTTAATGAGACATAAAGAATGCCTGCATCACCCAAAGAAGATGTGCATTGCACTGTAATTAGGTCACCATGGCCTTGACCTCTAAGCCAATTTAGTCAAATAACTGCAAAATTTCCAATGAAATTTTGCCCAGGTAGTTACTTTTATATCATTAAAGATATCTTGATGAAATTTAAAGTATACCTGCTTCACCAACAGAGATTGTGCAGTACAATTTATTAGCTCTTCAACTCGATTCAAAGGTTAAAAATTGAAATCTTGTTCAGGGCATAACTTTTAAAGCATTAAAGATATCTTGATGGAACTTAAATTGTACCTTATAACCCCCCTCTCCATCATTTTATACTACCTAATAGCCTCCTAGCCACTTTTGAAATAAAAAATGACATGCAGTTTCTCCTAAGTTGGAAAATTTGGGTGAACGGATGGAACACTGACCAGTGAAAGGATTGGGGTACCTTTTAGAGTTGGGAAACATATTACCTTGATTGTGATAGGTTAATAGTTCCAGATTCATTATCTCTAAATTCATGAATGAACGCAGAGTTATTGATATCTTTGTACTGAGGAAACTTTTTTGTTTGAGGGTCAGTCAATTAACGCCCTATCAAGCCTTTTGTGCCTTCGTGCCGAACACAGAAGAGCAATTAAAAGAATTATAATCAGCAGAGTGAGGTGAATTGTTCAGATATTTACAACATTGTTCAATGTATAATCTTAACTGTACAGGGCATGTTACAAGTTTGTATGTGTATCACATACTTCCAAGTGTGTCTCTGACTGTCAATTCTCAACCACACTATACATAAAGGAATTCCTGGAGACCAATTTCCTTGTAAGTTTCATTTCTAAATTTCCCAGGTGGAGAACAATAGATCTAATTAGGGAAGGCACTGTAAGTTAAGTCATCCCTTCAGACAAACCAAATGAAAGTTAATCTACCCTACCAGCTCTGAGTCTGTAACAGCACATCAGTTAGGGTGTCCCAGTGCAGCTATGACCTACCACCATATTATTATTCTCCACAGAGAGACATGGTCGTATTGATTCTAGCTGGACTGTTACATTTTGTTATTTTATTTCTGTTATTCTCTTTTTGACTCTCTCCTGTTTTCGTAGAGAAGATAAGCCAAGAGGGATAACTCTTGCTGGTATTATTTATTTTTCTGTAACCGCTTGTTCCATGGAGCACTTGAGTCATAAGAAACTCTTTCTTATCATTTAAAAGACAATCCGATCCTTACTGAATTTGATAAAACTTTTAAGTTTTATTGAAAAAAGGATACAATATATATTCAAGGAAATAGTCACCAATTCTTACAGATAAAAACATTGTGCCATTGGAAAAAATTGAGTTATTCTTATTTTTAATCTAGTAAAACTCTTTCTGGAAAGGAAACCAATCTTGATGATGAAAATGATTTCCCAGCTGAAATGTTTAGTACTGGTAACTGAAATCACAAAAAGAACTTTAAAAAAATGAAAATGTATTTGTAAACAATATCCACAACTTTACTGATAAAGTGGACTGTAGTGTTTACAGTAGATTTTGCTATAATATTTGTGGATTTTTGCTTTGAGCAGCAAAAACCAAATGTGATAATCCAGCAGTTGATATTTTGGAACTCTTATGTCCTACAGAGCTAACGGTGAGATGAAACATGATGCATCAGAAGATGAATCGGAGGAGGAAAATGAGGAGGGTGATTACACTGTATATGAATGTCCCGGTCTGGCACCAGTAAGTAGATAACATTATATGTAAGGGGACTTCTGGGTAGTGTATTTAAATGTCATCTGTAAAACCAGCTGAAGTCAGTGAACTTGATACCAAACAACAGCTTTTCTCAGATAAAAGAAAGTAAACAATCTTTCCAAAGGGAGAATAGTGAAACATGAACAGTTTGGATCATTCCAAACTGTTCATGTTTCAATATTCTCCCTTTGGAAAGATTGTCTACTTTCTTTTATCTGAGAAAAGCTGTTGTTTGGTATCAAGTTCACTGACTTCAGCTTTTCTCAGATAAAAGAAAGTAGACAATCTTTCCAAAGGGAGAATATTGAACCATGAACAGTTTGGATCATTCCAAACTGTTCATGTTTCAATATTCTCCCTTTGGAAAGATTGTTTACTTTCTTTTATCTGAGAAAAGCTGAAGTCAGTGAACTTGATACCAAACAACAGCTTTTCTCAGATAAAGGAAAGTAAACAATCTTTCCAAAGGGAGAATAGTGAAACATGAACAGTTTGGATAATTCCAAAGGGAGATTAGTGAAACATGAACAGTTTGGATCACTCCAAAGGGCGATTCGTGAAACATGAACAGTTTGGATCATTACAAAGGGAGATTAGTGAAACATGATCATTTTGGATCATTCCAAAGGGAGAATAGTGAAAAATGAACAGTTTGGATCATTCCAAAGGCAGATTAGTGAAACATGAACAGTTTGGATAATTCCAAAGGGAGATTAGTGAAACATGAACAGTTTGGATCATTCCAAAGGGAGATTAGTGAAACATGAACAGTTGAGCATTTTTCTTTAGCATTCACAGTTTCCACTATACTATGTGTTATCACAAATGGATCCTCGGTGTGGCTGTTCATATAGAAGTCATGATAACTGAAATAAAGCAAATTAATACATGTTCACTTCAATCTTAATCATTCAACTGGAAAATTATGTAACAAACAGATTATAATATCATTAGAAGAATCATACCTGTGATGCTTAGGAACATGCAATCAAACATGTTACATCAGTTTATCCACATGTCTTGGGAAAGTAATCAATAAATTTTACTACATAATTAATTTCCTATTTATAATATTTTCTGTCAACAATTTCACTTCAACTTAATGATGTTTTTTCCTTTCTATCACCAGACAGGGGAAATGGAAGTAAGAAATCCTTTATTCAGTGAGGAAACTTCTGGAGCTCCTGGTCCAGAACACCCTAAGGAGCCCCAGTGAGGGGGCACCAATCTTCAGAATTGAAGAAGCGCTGTTACTATAGTTATCTCCCTTAGCTCTAGCTAGTGGGTGTAAAACATATGTAGTTGTGGTGGGATGTATTTTTTGTTGTTCTTAGAAAAGTGCTCTGTGATTGAGATATTTATTGATTAGTCATTTTATCCCTGTCATTTGATCTGGTATTGGGTTTTTAGTAAAAACATACTGCATCAGTAAACTGTAAAATTTCTGTTTTTAAAAAAAACAAAACAAAACAATTACTTACAATAATATAACATGTCAATACTTGGAACATTCCTGCAGTTCCTATACCTAAGTTTGGTATAAAATTTGGTAAAGAGACAATAATACTATTCAAAATTATTTGGCAATTACAATATCTTTATTTAGCTGTATGGACTTGTACTATGAATCTACCTGAAATTATACAAATGTCAAAACTGATTTTACTGTTTTTATAGTTGATAGTTCACGGTATACCCAAAACACTTTTCAAAATAGAAGAGTTCAGGTTTGACTGATTTTGTGAGCTCTTCTAATTTGAAGAACATGAATTGTATACATTGTAGATTTAATTGCACAAAATAATGTTCTAACTTGCAATTTTATCAATATCTTGTGTTCATTGCACTGCACATGTGTTTTTAAAAAATTGTGCTGTTCCAACTCAATTTTGCCTTATAGTCTTGACTAACTGATACACAGACAAGTCTGTTTTGTTTAATTGGGTTGACAAGCTGTACATCGCACAAGGTCACAAAATTACACAACATGATTAAATCACCCTAACTGTTTTACTTATTACTAAGCCTGGATCACTGCAGGAAAATGCTCTTGGAAATTTTGCTAAATTTTCTTTATGTAAGCCATGACATCCAAATCTATATGAGGGTATAGGTATGTTTGTTCTAGATCTGAAACTTTCTGAATGCTATTTACACATTACCATGATAGATTCATGGTTGAAATGGTTTTGATATAGACTGCTCAGATATTTTCTAAGATCTTTAGATCAGTACTTCATCAAGTTTTGATTATTTTTTTGTGTTTAATTATACATATGAACTTTTTTCTCAATGCATTCCAAAGATTACAATATTTGACTGTTCAATGCAATGATGTTAATGATGATATTGATGATGAGGAGGAGGCTGATGATGAAGGTTGATGAGAATGATGCACTAGTTGACATGGCACTTTGTATTGTAATTCCAAAGATCAACTAGAATATATCTTTAGAGCTAGAAACATTTCTCTATTATCTGAAATCCCTAACTATTAAGTATTCCTCGTAGAATTGATCTCGCACTTTTATCTTTTTGTCTCATTTTTGTTTAACATTCTTTAATCTCTTCTTTTTACATACAAACTTATGCTTTATTAAAATTAACCTATATATTTCCGAATTCCTTCCATGTCATTCTTTATACACAATATTTCACGCTTAGATTACAAGAATTTCTATTTGAGGTGACAATCTGATGTTAATCTCAGTGTGTAGTTCCACTCAACATATTTGTATCACCAGTGCGATTGGGAGTGATGTTCTCCTGTTAGAAATTTATCAACACATGCTGTAATTCTGTTAAAAAGCATTTTCAGGAAATTTGATATCTGTGTATAATTCCAAATTAGGGGAGTGCTTATATAACTTAACCAGTTAAAAAATGTTAGGCTTCAGTGCAGGGGAACTATTTTGTCATGTCAGCAAAATTCTGTTTTGATTTATGTCTGTATCATCTATGTTAAGTTTTAACAAATATATATATATATATATAGCTTTAGTTATTTCTCTGATTGATTAAAAGTAGGTGGCCTTTAGGTACTGCATTATCCTGTACAAACAGGTTTAAACTGGGGCAACTTTTGACCGGTACAAACAGGTGTAATAGGGACGACTCTTGACCTGTACAAACAGGTGTTATAGGGACGACTCTTGACCGGTACAAACAGGTGTAATAGGGACGACTCTTGACCTGTACAAACAGGTGTTATAGGGACGACTCTTGACCTGTACAAACAGTTGAAACAGATGTCATGGGGACTGGTTTGGTAGAATCATTGCTAATGGAAAACACATTCTTCTTCTTAATTATTGTTTATATTATATTTTGTTGATGGTTGTGATTTTTTTTTTCAAACAAAGAAGCAAATGTATTTGCTGAAGTTTGAAAAAGTAAATGAAAAGTTGATTGTAGTCTATGTTGTTGTAGAATGGGCAAAACACTTTGGATAGAGGTATTCTGTGGTGTTTTTGGGCAAGGCCACAATGACTGCCTGTAAGGTCAGTGTGGGTGAAGAGATGGTCAAACTTTCTATGTTGTGATTTTATTTTGTTATTTGTAATAGGTCAGGAAATGCTTTAATATTGACAAAAACAATTCATCACATTTGACCTCCAATTCAAAATGTGTGTTCATGTCTACAAAATTACAGGTACAAACTTGTATTTACCCCTTCAAAGATATGTATTTTAGAATAATATTATTTCAGTATTACTCTGGCAATCAATGGTGTATTAATGTAATAAAACAAAATATAGGTTTTGTAGTCATGGCTAAGGTTTCTAGTTCTAAAACTGTCCATTATTTCCAACATTTCTAATCTTTATAGTTTGTATTTATGTTAGTCTTGCTTTAATTTTGTGATTGATGCAAGTATTCTTCACTTGAATGAATTCACCAGTCTTTGTTTGTATTTGGACAGAGGGATTAATTCACTAAAATTTAGACTGAAATATCTTGTCCATTAGTACATAGACAATGTTAAATAAGGGGAGAGTGAAGAAAACAGAAACTAATATCTATTTTTAACCAATGATAGGATGTGCTATTTATTAAGTTTTATTTGTATAGAAAAATATTCATTTCCAGGAATGGTTTTGATTCATATAACACATACAAATATATTTAGTTGTTGAAATGGGTTCCCTATACAAATTAAGCACATTTAAATTGCAAGGTGTTTTTGAGTGAAATGTGCAATAACCCTTTACAGTGTTCTCAGCAAAGCCCCAGGCTGTGTAACGTAAGATGATTAAAGGAAGTTCGAACACTTTTGCCTATCAGAAAATTATGTCAGATACATAGTTAATATAGATAGAATCACATTTAACACTTCTGGCAAAATTTTAAAATTTTAATATTTTTTTGTTCACACAAAAAAGTGCTCACTATTGATAATTTTAACTACACAATTATACATTTTAATACGAGATGTAACTCTGAAATTATACAGATGTAACTCTGAAATTATACAGATGTAACTCTGAAATTATACAGATGTAACNGAGTATTCTGTAATCGATAAAATGTTGTTTATCTTTTCTTATTCATATGTATGAAATGATGTCATTCTTTTTCTTTCTTTTTTTTCGACTTCTTAAAATTGAAGATTTATAAGTCCATGCATTACACATTAAAAAATGAAATCCTTTGAAAGTTTTAAAAACAAATTTTGCTTTTTGTTTTGTCTCTCCCTATGCTTTCAGAAACAACAACAACAATAAATTAATGCTAGTACAATGTAATGTTTTCCTGTTTTTAGCCAACACTTGATAGTTTTATTGGGAAGTCTATACATGAAATAATCTAATACAAAATTTTACATATGAAATAAAACTTGAAAAAAAAATTGTGTTTGTTTAATGTGAGTATATCTGTGTGTATGTAAGAAAGATGATATTAAGATAAAGGATTAGTAACCGACCTTCGGCCTGGTGGCACCTAGTAAATATCGCTCTACAAGAGATGTAAAATTTTACAAATTTGTGGCCCGCTTAAGTCTTAATTAGCTGGACTATATGGTCAAGAAGTAATCATCGAATGGAAACGGGTTATTAAAAAAAATGTACCATTGACTTGAACAGCTAGTATTACATCGTATCCTGAGGTCACCATGTTTCATATATATGTGTAGAACATATACAAAAAAAATGCTATGTTTGTTTTAACACCAACAGTAATTGAAGAATTATTTTGCGAGCTTACGAAGACGTCTGTTTCTTTTGTCGAGCAAAGAGTGTAAATGAACGGTTTCGACTCTTAAACCGCTGAAAACAACTCGCTAAGCCACAATGAGACGAAACCGTAGATTCAGTTTTCAGAATATATTAAGACATTTAGCCATATAGCAATCCAAACCTACAGGCAGTCAGAGGGACGGTTATATTTACCCATTCCACCTGTTAGTGGATGCTAAAATGGTGTCATATTAAGATGACTCGGCTGGTGCCCCCCTCGTCTCTGTTCGCAGATTCCCCTTCCCTCCTAAAACAAATATTTGGGTCAGATGATTTTCAGAGGAATTCTTGACACTAAGTTATATAGTAACTTGTATTATAAATCAAATACTCATTCTGCTGCTGCACATGCACAAATTATAAATCAGACCCTGATATTTTCAAAATTCAGAACCCACCACCAGAATCTGAGTATTCTCTGTTGACAGTTAAGCCAAGAACAACTATGACAACCGAGTGATGGTTACCTTGTGGATGTGTGTGATGCTTCAGATTGGCTGTAAGCTTATTTATTAAAACGCCCACCCCGTAACACTAACCCATTACCATGTATAGTAACACCAACATTCTTACTAGAAATTGAAACCAAGGATATGGTTGTTTTAGCAATTGTTAGAAAATAGAGAATGCATTGATTCCAGAGTTAGGAACCAGCATGATTGACAAGAAAAAAGAGACCAGTACACCATATGCAGAGCGGTGCAACCTGCGGTCTGTTAGCCATCACTTCTAAACCTAAGACTGGTTTACCCGCTCTTTATTTCCTCCAGAAGCATGTACCCTATCAGTATGAAAAGACAAATTACCATTACGGGATTGTACACTGTACAAGTCCTGCTCCGATTTTCTAAACATTTCCTTAAAAGTGACGCAACATTTTGAAACACAAATTAGGGTACTTGCATTCAAATGGTTGCCTGGTCTTAGTAAAATCCCAACAAGTAATACGTGATCGGGGAAATGTGATTTGTGAAACATGATATGTTGACTCAAAAATCAATTGCAATGTGAATTGTAATATAGCATAGTGGTTCAGGGGAGGACTACGCAGACAGTGGGCCATACAAGAGAATGCTGAATGGGATTCACATTCGGAGTGGTTTAAACCTCTCAGGCCAACGATAAATCATTATGAAAAGAATATATAGCTTAAAATCAAAAATGAAAACCAAACATGACTTTGTGTTGCTTGACTCCGACGCCCAAACAACGCTCAACAATCAGCATTATAAGTATGGAGCGGTGTCGGCAGGCAAAACATGAAATAACTCTCTCATTTAATGCAAACACTATTAGAGATACTACATAAACAAAATAAGGAACGAGGCTTGCTTAATAACCAAAACAATTCCTTATACATGTATATTTTCCATTTTTGTTTGTAAAACTATATTCTAGCTAATCATGCCTCTGTATTGCTGTCTTTCCGAGTACCGGTTAGTGATAAAGATACGGTCCTCCCTAGCTTGTATAGGATTCAGAAACCTCCCTAATCCTTTAAGAATACACTATTTGTTTATCGTTGCACAACCAAGCCATTATCCTGTGTACGGCATTCTCGGTACCGTTAAATCAGGGATATAGTTCATCGTGACGCAATGAACAGACGACTTCATAATGGAATATTGATTTTGAAGAACTCAAAAGATCTTTTTATCAATCTTTAGCACCCTTTCCTCCCTAAAACATGTCTGTTCTACTAGAACATCAGACGTTCCTATACTCTATAACCCACCTTACATCATACCAGAGGAAACGCCTTTACTCTCTTCCTGTGTAACTGATTCCTCTCTCTCTCTCTCTCTCTCTCTCTCGAAAGACGAATGTTAATTACAAATACATTATTGTGAACTACTTAAGAGAATATATTATGAAAAACATGACAAATAAAATATACTTTGGAGGAAATTGTGAGATTTTTTTAGTTCATGGTAGACAATTATCATTGTTTGAATTCAGTGATTTTTCAGCAGAGTGTTTACTTACTCAATAGGATAAATTGTGACTCTTGACCAACTTATGTCCCTGTCACGATGTAGTGGAGGGAATTTAATTGTTTGCCTTGTCCGTCAATCCTACCGCACATCACTTGTGTGGCCTGGGACTTTGCGTCCAGCTCCATATCTCTTTATTATATAACATGCTGATACGTCTTGAGGAGCACAACGCCATTCTTACCATAAGACGCTGCCATCAAGATCCTCCGCTCGCAGTGCAAAAGTCAATAAAAACATGAAGCGTAAAATATAGGTCACAATCAGCTTTCGCAATCCTATATACACAATTGATGAAAGTATAATCACATAAAAACACTTGTAGTAGGCAGATATAGATAAAAGCAATTCTTCTTAACCAAGTCAATGAAGCGTAAACTATAGGTCAGCATCCGCAATATGCATTTAGTAGAGCAACCCTAGATACACAATTGATGCAAGTATAATCAACACAACACTTGTAGTAGGCAAGATATAGATGAGGGCAATTCTGCTTAACCTTACATGAAGATAACAGCTTCTTAACCAAGTCAATGAAGCAAAAGACTTAGGTCAAAATCAGCATCTGCAATATATATTCAGTAGTCAACGCGTCACTGAATTTGATTAGACTATAAGTTAAGCTTCATATTTCTGATAATAGAAGTCATTGAACTTGATACGTTGACATCATCTTCAGAGTACTACACCATCGTGTACCAGGCAGGTCAATGACCGATAATATGGTCTACATTTTCCGCTTCACTGCCTTTGATCAGTCTTTGCGTAAAGCTCAATTTCTCTGATAATACAAGTCATATTGTAATGGAACTTTATAAACAGAGACATCGTGAGATTAAGAACACTGTGACCTACATATCCGCTTCACTCACTTTGGTGAGACTTTGCGTTAAGAACCATTTCCCTGAAACTGCACGCCCTTTCATCAAAAACAAAAACAAAAACGTAAACCAAAACGCACTCCGAACGCAAAATCGGTAAAATCAAAATTGGGGTAAAATATCAACAAGTTTTTCATGAAGGCACTTGAAAAAAGAACAAAGTGAATGCGTTCCAGAAGAAGTTTCCTTTTCTTCATCGACGACAACCGCCATGTAAATCGGGATAAAATTCAAGAACTGGTAAGTGACAAAAAAAAAACAAAAAAAAACAATGAGCACAAACGAAGAAAAAAACCATTTCCCAACAAGATCATGATGGCGACCAAAATCTTGTCCATTGTGTTCATCAAACTTGCGACTTTCTGTCACGGAAACCCTGTGGTAAGTTGTTCCGACAGTAGTGGACATCTGTCACGGAAACCCTGTGGTAAGTTGTTCCGACAGTAGTCGACATCTGTCACGGAAACCCTGTGGTAAGTTGTTCCGACAGTAGTCGACATCTGTCACGGAAACCCTGTGGTAAGTTGTTCCGACAGTAGTCGACATCTGTCACGGAAACCCTGTGGTAAGTTGTTCCGACAGTAGTCGACATCTGTCACGGAAACCCTGTGGTAAGTTGTTCCGACAGTAGTCGACATCTGTCACGGAAACCCTGTGGTAAGTTGTTCCGACAGTAGTCGACATCTGTCACGGAAACCCTGTGGTAAGTTGTTCCGACAGTAGTCGACATCTGTCACGGAAACCCTGTGGTAAGTTGTTCCGACAGTAGTCGACATCTGTCACGGAAACCCTGTGGTAAGTTGTTCCGACAGTAGTCGACATCTGTCACGGAAACCCTGTGGTAAGTTGTTCCGACAGTAGTCGACATCTGTCACGGAAACCCTGTGGTAAGTTGTTCCGACAGTAGTCGACATCTGTCACGGAAACCCTGTGGTAAGTTGTTCCGACAGTAGTCGACATCTGTCACGGAAACCCTGTGGTAAGTTGTTCCGACAGTAGTCGACATCTGTCACGGAAACCCTGTGGTAAGTTGTTCCGACAGTAGTCGACATCTGTCACGGAAACCCTGTGGTAAGTTGTTCCGACAGTAGTCGACATCTGTCACGGAAACCCTGTGGTAAGTTGTTCCGACAGTAGTCGACATCTGTCACGGAAACCCTGTGGTAAGTTGTTCCGACAGTAGTCGACATCTGTCACGGAAACCCTGTGGTAAGTTGTTCCGACAGTAGTCGACATCTGTCACGGAAACCCTGTGGTAAGTTGTTCCGACAGTAGTCGACATCTGTCACGGAAACCCTGTGGTAAGTTGTTCCGACAGTAGTCGACATCTGTCACGGAAACCCTGTGGTAAGTTGTTCCGACAGTAGTCGACATCTGTCACGGAAACCCTGTGGTAAGTTGTTCCGACAGTAGTCGACATCTGTCACGGAAACCCTGTGGTAAGTTGTTCCGACAGTAGTCGACATCTGTCACGGAAACCCTGTGGTAAGTTGTTCCGACAGTAGTCGACATCTGTCACGGAAACCCTGTGGTAAGTTGTTCCGACAGTAGTCGACATCTGTCACGGAAACCCTGTGGTAAGTTGTTCCGACAGTAGTCGACATCTGTCACGGAAACCCTGTGGTAAGTTGTTCCGACAGTAGTCGACATCTGTCACGGAAACCCTGTGGTAAGTTGTTCCGACAGTAGTCGACATCTGTCACGGAAACCCTGTGGTAAGTTGTTCCGACAGTAGTCGACATCTGTCACGGAAACCCTGTGGTAAGTTGTTCCGACAGTAGTCGACATCTGTCACGGAAACCCTGTGGTAAGTTGTTCCGACAGTAGTCGACATCTGTCACGGAAACCCTGTGGTAAGTTGTTCCGACAGTAGTCGACATCTGTCACGGAAAACCTGTGGTAAGTTGTTCCGACAGTAGTCGACATCTGTCACGGACATCATGTTGTCCGGAGATTGATCTTTAAATGTCGACTTATCTCATTGGGACATGCAAACACCGTGGTTAGGGGAACTGGGATGTTACTTTCGATAAAGGGAAAGTTCACAATAGAACAATCGAAATCGACCCGCTAATCATACAGCTTAGTTATAAGCCGTATCTGTTGGTCATGCTGTAAGTAAAGATCACGGAAACCGGCTGAAGTCTGTAGTGCCATTAGATCGACGTAGTCAATAAATAGTTATTTTTCCAGCAGAAAATGTAATATTATTTGCAGACAAGGATTGAGTTATTAGATGCAGACACGACGACATTCTTATCATGCAGATCGTTGAATGTGGTTTTGACAAAAGTGTCAAGAATACAAACTTGTATTTTGCTTCCAATTTTTATTTCAAGCCACGGGTTCTTTATCGAACGATAGCCCTGATAAATGTGACCAACTCTGACTGTGAAGTGCGGCACGCTCTCATTTTGCATATTGTCTGGTGTTGTCTGCTACAGAATCCATCAGTATCTTGAAACTTACATTCCAGTTGATAGAGTCTCTCGAAACTTATAGGACCCCTTATGCAAAGATCGTAGCATTCATTAGCTTATGAATGATATTTAGATTCCCAGTTACAACGAGTCCATGTGGATCATTTGGATGGGATTGCATAACAAAATTGTAGCGTATGCGCGAGTAAAGCTCTGAAGCAGTGGGTTTAGAATTGCTGTAAGAAATGATTGGGGTACATTTGTATATGGAGTACGGTGGAATCTTGTCTTTGGTGGATTCTGTTGCAAGATACCAATACTATTAAGTATCTAGCGATGCGTTGGCAGATTCGACTTTCATAAAATTCCGATCAAAAGGCTTAAACTGTATATATACCTGCAGATATGTCATTAGGAGTACCTAACAGTCATGACAATGTGACATTTAGACCGCTGTAACCTATATTTTCCACTTCACTGACTTTGGTTAAACTTCGATCCATTTGTGATTTTCATCAATTCATGAGATGGGGATATGTTAGTTTTACAAACATGTTCTAGTTTTCATATGAGTTTGATTGATCAAAAAGCTTATCAGGACATGTATCAACAATCTATTAGGTCCTTCAATTTCATTTACAGATATATCGATAATATGTTGTCTTTAGATAATAAAGATATTACTGACCACACCGTTTGTATACTCTAGACCGAAGACATGGCAGATACTTCTACATTTTATCTCGATATTATCTTAAAACAAACACAACGTCGACTTGTAATGAGAGTGTCTGTTTCCGTTTCTTGGTAGAAGATCCCTGTTTTTCTCATTATCATTGATCATTATCAGATTGATTTACAGTCACAATATAGTGTCACTCAATGTAAGTGTCTATCTTTATTAACTCCTAACACCTTGCTTATGGTCACTACGGTAAATAAGAACTCAAACTGTGTAATGGCAAGAACAAAGCTTCTAGCTGTAGTGATGGTCTCCTTGTTCCAGCCACATGCTGAGGTCAAGTCTTCAAAGGTCTCCACAATGATTGGTAGTAGGTCGAAGAAGACTACCATCGCATCATACATCCAGGAGTTTTGTCCGGTTTGTAGCTATGGGTGAAGTGGATTGCTCCAGAATACCGTATTTTACGATAGGATTAAAACTTGTGACAAGCTTTATTGTGCAAAATGTATACAATTAATAATATTTCCATTATTTCGGAAAAAAATTGCCACTAGTCCGGTCGGACTAGTTAACTTGAATATTTTCAATACTAGTCCAGACTTAAATTTACTAGTCGTGGGGATCGGACTAGTGCCTAATGTTGCAGACTGAACTATTATAACTAGCATCCTAATTAAATAAATAAAATTGTAATCGCGTCATTGCACGGAATCAAAGCAAATTATACATGATAAAATACATTGTAGCATATATAGGCCTACTTAACAGTGAGCTCAGTTATACTTCTGTGCCTGTTAGTATCCATTTTTTTTTTTTAAATTTGTGACTTTTGTGAATATGATATTTTAAAAGTGCCGTCAAATTGTAATGCTCTCACTTGTGATATGTACTTGTACTAGTGGTTATGTATAAATTATTTAAAATCGGGTTGTCTTCAAACAGTACATAAAATGTTCTTTTCTGTAACATTCCGGATTGATATATTTCCGACTCCGCTAATATGCTACCATGACAAAGAGACTTCCGGTTGGAAAATGAAAGCATGGCGGGCACTGAAGTTTCAAATCAAACTTCTATCAAACCAGACAGGTAACTTCAATACGAAATAAATTAAAGATTGTTAAGACATAATCAGACGATTCTTAATTGTTTCAATATTTCTATCTGTAACCTGTCGAGCAAGAAACGTAGATAACAAAGCTAAATTTATGCTGATTTTTGTTTACAATTTGATGTTTATACTTTCATTTGTCTACTTTATTGCAGCTTTGGAAATAGATCTTTATGGCAGTTAATAAATGGAACAGGAGTTCTCCGCCCCAAGGTAATATACAGGAACATGTTCAGAGGTCGCGATCGATGCATTAAAGTGCCCTTTTTTCTTATTCTTGTACTGATCACTTACTTGCCTTTCCCTTACACAGAAATATTGTTTATCAATTGTAATTAGAGCAATGCTAATTAAAGTAACTGTGAACTGTCCTATTATAAGTCTCAAACTATATATGGGATACTGTTTGCATTAAATTCAATATTGGATTTTTGCCAAATTGTTTTTTATTATAATTATAAAGCTCCTGTGTTAGAAAAGTTGCATACAAACCTACTCCCAACAGTGTTAGAGGTTTAACATATACATGGGGAGATACTTTTGAAGGCACCTTGTAACACTGCTTTGAAACATAACAGATAAAAAAAATTGCCAACCAGCAGTCTCTTATATGAAAGAATAATCAGTATTATACCTATATTCCCTCTAGCTCGAAGCTAGAAGGCGACCACAATCATATGTACAATTAAAATCTTCCACTAGCTACCCCATTTTTAAATGTGTTCGCCCTCGAACACCACAATGTTAACCTAGGTTCTAACTCTTTGTCACCACGGAGGGCCACAGACACCATTTGTAACAGGAAAGAAAGTAGTACTAGTGTGCTTCCACCGGAGGTTGACCTCGCGATCCCAGACTTCCTAGTTGGATGCTCCACCACTGGGCTAAAGGGAAATTCCCTCTAGTTCGAAGCTAGAAGGTGCCCATATATAATCCTATGGACAATCAAAATCTGCCACACGTCAAAGACTTGTACGCCTAAAATGCATATATAAGCACAGAATTACTGCACATAATTGACAAAAAAACATGCACTGAACAATTTAAGATCATTGCAAACAATAAAATTGCCAATGGATTTAAGAAGATCGACTTAATTCATGGAATTAAATATAAACTGCTTGCTATCATTTAAATTGGCTAGGGTGCATTCTGTTTCTTTATATATATATAAATATGTTATCCATTTACCTGAATTAATGTGCAGCTTTACGTTAACAGTCGAGCAAAGGATACAAATTAAAATCAAGCAAACATAACATGGTCTAGAATGTAACCTGGATTAAAAACTGGTTAAAATTTTCAATGATTTTAGAGATGAGAACAGTCGCTTACATCACAGTGCTTTTTCTGTTATATGTCTGAAATACAGCAGCATATATATGACAGTAAAAATCAATAATCTAACATCTTTGCACTTCATCATTATGTATGACAGGGTTAATAGATGATGATAATTCATTTAAATTAATTAAAATTTAATTGTTTGTTCTACTTCTGAAGGAGTTGGTGTCCAGGGAACTGACAAGAAATGGAAAAAAGATATTGGAAGGTTTATCATTCTATAAAAAACCAGTGTAAGTGTATAGTATTCTCTTAGACAAAGCTTCTTTTTAATTATGATAAGTATTTTGTATGTTAACTTGGTACAGGTTGCTACAGCTTTTTCGATTTATTTGAGTACTGCATTTGCCATATATATGTACCCATCCTCCAATATGGGTTCCTACATAGTTATGTAATGAGCACCTTTTTGTGTTTTCCATGAATGTTAAAAGGATTGTTTTGCTCTGATTTTCCAACATACTTGGTAATACTATTGTTGAATTTTGTTTGACACTATAACTTTTTTTTAAATTTCCTTCACTGACAAACTGCTAGGTATAAATGTGAATTGCTGTATGATCGGTTGTATGTTCATGTGTAACTGCGTTACCAATCATTAGGCATTGTCAATAAAAAATTGTCACAAAATGTTTAAAAAAATCTTCAAAATACATATACCGGTCCGGTATTCTAAATATACAAAAACATTTTTCATGACAAAAATTGTGAGTTAACATCTTTCAGTAATATAGATGTTGGTGGTAAGCACAATTTTATCAAATAAATGTATTGTCAACAATTTTTCTTGTGAATGGACTTTTTAATAAGAAGGTCAAATTGTGACTATGAGTTGCAATGAGACCCCTATTGCTATGTCATTGAGAATGGGAAAATAACATTATAACAATGTTCTGTACAAAATTTTAACAGTTACAGAAAACAGTTCTAGACTTAATTAACAAAAGTTGTCACTCTGAAATTTGAATGTGTCAGTGTGTGTGTGTTGTCATTATATTCTATATATAGAACTATAGCAGGAGAACAGCTCAAAGGGAAGAGACTCTCCAAGCTACACAAGGATCTGGTACAGAAGATCAGCCAGTATTTGGTAGATATCAGCATCAGTTTTATCGATATTTTTGTGTTCAGATAAAATTCCATATACAAATGTACCTGATTAAGTATTGTATCTGTCAAATTATTGTGAAAATGATAATCAGAAGCATACATATATGTACCACAAAAAATGTAAGAAAATGCATGGGTTCAGAATTTTGTCACAAAAAATCTTTTTATAGCTTTTTAGGTCACCTGAGCTTTGCTCAAGTGACCTATTCCAATCGCTTTTCGTCCGTCGTCGTGCGTCGTGCGTAAACTTTTACATTTTCAACTTCTTCTCAAGAACCAGTGGATGGATTTTTTTCAAACTTGGTCAGAATCATCCTTGGTAGATGAGGCTTCAAAATTGTAAAATTGGGATTCCTACCCCCACCCCTGGGGCCAGGGCGGG